TGGACAACAGAAAAGTGGGTGAAGGGAGACCGACGTCAGACAGTGTAAGATATGACAAAATAATAATTTATAATTTAGCAAGGGTTCCTGAGAGGGGGGGAAGTGGGGAGGGAGGGGGAAAAATGAGGAGCTGATGCCAGGGCTTACGTGGAGAGCAAATGTTTTGAGAATGATGAGGGTAACGAATGTAAAAATGTGCTTTATGCAATTGATGTATGTGTGGATTGTGATAAGAGTTGTATGAGCCCCCAATAAAATGATTTAAAAAAAAAAGAATTTGCTGCACAAAATTCTTCCAGCCTCTGCCTATGGTCCAATTAGAATTCGCTTTGCATTTTTAGATATTTGTTACAATGGCACTCTACTTGAAGGAACAAAAACAACTGCTGCATTGCTATTGATGCAATAATGAATTAGTACCAGGTTAATGGCTTACAACAATGCAAACGTATTATCTTGTGTTTCTGACAGCTTTAAGGCTGTGGCTCAGAGGACTGAAATCAAGGTTCTTTTCACAGTTCTCTGGGGGAGAATCTCCAAAATCAACAGTTGCTCACTGAGACTTCATCATATTGGGTCACTCTGACTGTCTGATTAGGACCAGACTCCTCGTTTCCCTTCCCTGTTTTTCTTGTAAGGAGTTATGTAATTTCCTTGAATCAGCATGGAGAATCCAGGATGATCTCACTATCAAAAACTTGACTGATTAGCATGTCTGATTTAAAATGCAACATCAATTTTCTCTTGCATCATGGCATGATACATCTACCGATTCTGGGGTTTCGGGCCTGTTGTTCCATTGTTCTGTTGTCACCGAGTTGATTCCCATCCATAGTGGCCCTTTGCCCAATAGAATGAAGCACTGCCCATGGCACCGTCCTCACAATTGTTCCTAGGGTTTAGCCCATGTTTGCGGTCACTGCATCAACCCATCATGGTAAAAGCCCCCTTCTTTGTCACCATTGCTCTCCTTTACCCAGCATGATTTCCTTCTTCAAGAACTGGTCTCTCCTGACAACACAGCCGAACAACAGGAGACAACGTCTCCCCATCCGTGTCGCAAAGGATCGTTCTTGCTGTACTTCTTCCAAATGAGTTTTGATTGTTTTTCAGCAGTCCATGGTATTTTCGATATTCTTCCCCAGTGCCATAATTGAAAGGCATCGATTCTTCTGCAGTCTTCCTCATTTAATGTCCAACTTTCATTTGCATAAGAGGGGATTGAAAGTACAATGGCTGGGGGCAGGCACACTTTTCATCCTCAAAGTAACATCCTTGCTTCGCAATACTCTTAAGAGGTCTTGTGCAGCAGATTTACTTAATGTAATGCATCTTTTGGATTCTTGACTGCTGCTTCCAGGAACATTGATTGTGAAATCTAACAAGACAAAATCCAGGACAACTTTACTTTTTCCCTCTGTGCTACCTATTGTTCCAGTTATGAGATATTGGTTTTCTTTATATTGAGTTGTCATCTAAACTGAAGTCTGCAGTCTTTGATCTTATCAGCAAGTGCTTCAACTTCTCCTAACTTTCAGCAAGCAAGGTTGGGTCATCTGCATATTTCAGATTGTTAATCACTCTTCCTCCCATCCGGCTGCCACTTTCTTCTTCATCTAATCAGATGCGCTGATGATTTCCTCAGCATACAGATTGAATAGGCATGATGAGAAGATGCCCAGCCTGGCGGTGGATGCATCTCCAGCACCAAGTGAAGGCAGAGAGAGTGGGGAAGGATGCCAGGGTCCTCCTTATGAGAAGGCCATGCCCCCAGGGAGTCACCATCATCAAGCTGTGACCTGACAGGCTAAACTTGACCCCTACAAACGTGCTGCACAAGACCTCTTTACAGTGCTGGAAAGCAAAGATGTTACTTTGCGGACTAAGGTGCCCCTGAGCCAGGCCAGGTGATTTTCCATCATCTCATATACATGTGAGAGTTGAACACTGAAGAAGGAAGAGAGGTAAGAACTCAATTCATTTAAGCTGTGATGCTGGCAGAGAATTTTGAAAGTGCCATGCACTGCCAAAAGAGCAAACGCACCTGTCTTGGAAGAAGTACAGCCAGAGTGCTTTTGAGAAGTGAGGATGGCAGCACATCCTCTCACAGACTTCGGACATGTTATCTAGAGAGCCCAGTCCCTGGAAAAGGGCATCATGCTTGGTAGAGTCGAAGGGCTGTGGGAAAGATAAAGACCTTTTACAAGATGGATTAACACAGTGGCTGTCTCGATGGGCTCCGACACAATAACAGTTGTGAGGTTGGCATAGGGCCTGGCAGTGTTTTGTTCAGTTGTACAACAGGTTGCTATGGGTCAGAACTGACAATACTCCACAGCACCGAACAACAATTATTTGGGAAACATGAAATGGAAGCATGCCTTTCAAGCAGGATAAAACTTTTGAGCAAGGCCATGGAGGTGAAAATGTGTTACTATTTAAGAAATAGGGAATGCCACCATTGAAGTCAATGGGTGCCATTAGGTGAAAGATACATAAAGACAAGAATGTAGTTTAGATGGAAGTTAGATTTCTACCAGATGGCCTTATTTTCTAGTATTGCATAAGACGGACCAAAAAATAATTGGCGCATTTGAGTTATAGTGTTGAAATAGAATATTGAATATACCATGGAGTACCAAAAGAACATTAATTCTTAAAATCATGTGGTCCCCTTTTAAGTATGTGTTACTGTGTACTTCTTTTTTGGTTTTCCTCCTTAAGTGTTGAATTCTAAGTATTTTGATGACAAAATCCTTAGTAATCTAAGAGAATATCTTGTATTGAAAGTGGAGGACAAGAGGATTTAAAAAATGGCAGAACAACATCAAAACACAACCTTGCTGCTCTCGTTTTTGCCCAATTCTATGCCCTCTTTCGTGCCTGTGGCCACTTCTGTTTCTATTGCTGCTCCTACCTCTGTTCCTACTTACATAAAACACTTCAGCCCGCTCCATCTGGACAACTCTGTTGTCTGCCACCAGGTAAGCATCGTTGGAAAGACGGTGAGGAACATGTGAAGTGTGAGGTGTCTAAAATGGAATCAGATTGAGAGGATTGGGGTTTTCAACAATGTATAGAAATTGGACTTGAACAAATTGATTCCACGTTCCTTGCTGTAAAGAACCGGGGTACTATGATTAATTGTGTTTTCACAATAAGATATAGCATGATGTCATATTCAAAATTTAAGAAAACCAAACAAAAGCCACACTCTACCATCAAGTCAATGCCAAATCATAGTGACCTCATGGGAGAGGGTAGAACAGCCTTTGGGAGTTGCCGAGAAGAGACCGTAAGTGTTGAGGAGAGTAGAAAGCCCTGTCTTTCTCCTGACAAGAACAACACGCGGCTTCGAACTGCCGACCTAGCAGATCATAGCCCAACATGTAACCACTACACCACGAGAACTTTTGAACCATCAAGGAGGGTGATTCAAAAATGTGAAAAGCAGAAAGCGTTCTCTGTGATGGCAAAACATACACAAAGAACAACCAGAATTGAGTGCACGGAGCCAAGTGGAATGAGAACGTTACTTGAGACAAACAAGCGTTGTAAAGCCACGGAACTGCATGAGCTCAGTAGTTTAGCTTCAAATCTGAAAACCAGGATAATTCCAGCAACTATCTCTTCCCCAGCAGAACTGTTAGGAGTTTTTAACTATAGAAAACACACGAGAAGCTACAGCTTTTCAAGAGCATTGGAGCGTGGAAATATACCTCTCGATATGTTTAAAGGGCCAGATTTTCTTGTAAACTCCGCCTTCTCTGTCTTTCATTCCACTGGCAGTCAGCGAGGCCTGCACTCAGTCCTCTGCCATAGTCTGGGATAGTGAGTGGGATTCCTCGCAGAGTTGATTTTCCATGAGCAAGTTTCCATCCAGGATTGCCCTACACTTTGCCTGAGCTAATCCCCAAGCAAAAGAGCAGCCAGTGGCCTGGGGAGTAGCCCCTACACCAGCCTAAGGGCACCTGCCTGGGAGGGATCTTGGCAAGCAGCAGAGGGCCCTGGGCCCTGTTTGACCTCCTGATGGTGTATGTTGGCCACTTTCTTTTTCAGTCTTTCTTGGACTGGAGAGGGAGGGGCTTTAAAGAGCATGCAGGAAAGCAAGACACCGCAAGGGATCACTTAGGGACCAACGGAACGAGACCGAGAGACTCTTGGAGAGACAAAGGCTAAAGCGGATTGAATATTTAGGAGAAGCGGGGGAGTTCGGGTTTCCGGGGTCGGTCCTGACCCGAGTTGAGCAGGTAGACCCGGTAAACCAGGGTGAGCCAGTGCCGCTGTGGCTGCTTCGCCTCAGGTGCATTCCTGCAGGTGCCACTGCAGGGCTCTTTCTTGCGCCCACCCCTCCGCCCCTGACACCCCCTGGGCGGGCGCGCCCTGCAGATGCTGCTGATCCCAAACGCAGCCCCGAGGTCCAGGAAGTCATCCAGTAAGTGGTCGCCGCGGACCCACCCGGATCGAGGCCCCCCCAGTCTAGCCTTAGGGTCCCGAGAGTCCAGGGGACGGGTCTCGCCCGCGGTCCCTGCTCTCTCTTTCCTCCCCCGGGAAGCCGCCCAAGGCCCGGTTCCCACGTAGGGGGAGAGCGCAGGAGTCGGGGCCCAGGGGCCCGCTCGGGGCCCTGGGGACGTGCCGCGCCCGGGTCGGCGCCTGGCTGCG